TTCTTCTACTAGCATACATTCTATATTGCATTAACACTTGGTCGTAAAAAAAATTTGTTCTCGTTTGATCCCGCACAATTTGACAATCGCTCAAAAAAAAGACTCGTGTGGATTGGTGCAAAATAAATTTAAAAAATACAATCGCGGTGTGTCAAAAGACGTTTATAAGATCGTCACAGGTGACGAATCATGGATCTATGCTTATGAGCCCGAAACAAAACATTGATCGACCGTGTGTGCTGTTGAAGCGTTCAAAAATCATGTTTTGGAGGTGTCTCAATCGGAGTGGACAAAGTGCTTCAACAATTGGTTTGAACGCATGCAAAAGTCTGTAAGTCTTGGTGAAAAATACTTTGAAAAACAATAAAACCATTTTTAATCATAAATATTCGCATTTTCTTTATTAGACCAGAAAAATATATATATAGCAACCCTCGTATATCGCAAACATCGGATTAAGTTGGTGGATCCTTATGAGAATATCAAAATATAACCAGTTTATTCCAATACAAAACAAAAAATAAAGTCTCAAGTCCATCTTCAAAAATCCAAAGGTTGTTTTTTTACCAAATACCATTTCCGGTCGTTCAGTTATATGGCATCTATAAGATATAGTCGACCGATCTTTATGAAATTTGGTGAGTCGTTACAGCATTTCCGATCGACTTATATACTATAGCAGTCCGACTTATATACTGCGTGCAAAAGAAGGGTGGGTGCAAAGTTTCAAGTCGATAGCTTTAAAACTGAGAGACTAGTTTGCATAGAAACAGGCAGACGGCCATGCTTATATCAACTCAGGAGGTGATTCTGATTAAGAATATATATTCTTATAGGGTCGGAGATGTCTTCTTCACTGCTTTGCACACTTTCGGACAAAATTATAATACCCTCTGAAAGGGTATAAAAACGGCTTCAACACGGCATGACCTCCTTTATAATAGCAAAAAATAAATACTCTGAAAAGACATTTTGTTTCTAACAAACAATTTTTTATTTACATTTCCAGACAATAAGACCCTCTCCTTCTAGCATTGCTTAAAAATAACTGTTAATCTTTTTTTCCTTATGTTCTGTTCACGAGAAAACCCAAAAACAAATGTACACAATCACTTTTTCTTAAGGTCCGAGACTTACTTTCTTACTTTTGATTTTGGTTGAGTGTTTTTCGTTAAGAGGTTCAAAAGACGCTCTCCTACTGAACATTTCTCACTGAGACATAATTGACGCTCGCAATCATACTTAGAATTGAAACTTAGAAAACACACCATTAACTGTTGCATAGATTTTTCATGTTAAACATGAGTATACATTTAAGTGACGTATATTAAAATTTGCTTATTGTTACATTTTACGAAAGAATTTTTTATAAAGTGTCGTGGCGCACTCTGGACCAGCTCACATTATATTCCATATTTTCTAATTGATCAAAATTTTAAGAGCGGGTAGGTTTGATTGATTCTTTTATAGATTTGATTTGATTCTTTTTATAAATTAACAAAATTAACTCTTACATTCCAGAAAAAAAAAGAATAATTTTTATAAATTAGTCTCTGAAGGTCTGTTTCTGGGATTTGCTCGCCCATTTATATTTGGGGTAATCTGGATCCACAAAATATAGTCTGATAGGTGGAGCTACCAATTGTATTTAGCGGCCTTATTGGACTTAGCCTTTCCCTTCAGTGCCATTCGATTTGTAAACGTTCTGTCCCATTCCTCGGTGGCGCTTATACAACCGTTGGTGTTCATAGAAGCGTCAAAAATTCCAAGAAGGAAATTTCCTTGAAATCGTGAATTTTGGAATTAAAGATAAATTGGCCTGAGCCAAGCCAAGAGTTTTCACAGTTGATTCTTGGGGAAATTCCTTTCTCTTTCCTCTGTAAAATTACGCCCCGACTTAGCCCAAAAAATTACTTATCACAAAAATTTTTTATTACATTTTATATTCTATTAATCATTTTTCTTCATAAAATATTTTTCTAAAGTATCAGGTTTAACCGGAGGTTGGCAATTTGATGGGATCTGCAATAAAAATCATCGATTTTCAATCAAAAAATTATTCATTTATGAATGTATTTTTACAAATATATCGAGCCCTATTGGAGGCAAAAAAGCCAATTTTACAGGGGAGGGGTTTTTTTCGCTTTTATTTCCCGGCAACTAAACTCTGGGCGTTAGTCGCTTATGTTATATGGATGGAATTAGTGTTTGATATTTTGGGAGCAGATGCGGTTGGTAAATATGTAAAAATTTGCCTGCAAATTTTTCCGCAAAATGGTGCTTACGTTATTTTTGCAAATAGGGCTCGATATGAATGTACATAATTATAAGTGTGCCGTTAATATTTCGCAACGGCTTAATTTTTTTCTTCTCATTTACGGCAAAAAATATGGAATGCCAATTTATTTGAAATAAAATACAAAAAACAATTAAATAACTTACCAGATACAAAAATGTATACATATATGTAAAAAAAACTTCTTTTATTATAAAAACGTATGAATCCAGTGAAAGCGAAACGAGGAAAAATCTAATCGAAGCCATGAAGTAATTGGCGCATGCTAGGGTGTAATCGAACTTTTGTTTTTTAAATAGGAAACAGATACTTCTTATTCATTTATTAGAGTTGGCTATACCAACGACTATTTCCGAAAAAGTTTAGCAATTATGTAAGTTTATTTTTGTATACCCTTGCAAAGTGTATTATAATGTTCGTCTATAAAATACCGTATAAAGTATATATACTCTTGATCAGGATCCCCTCCTAAGTTGATATGAGCATGTCCGTCTGCCTGTTTCCATGCAAACTAGTTTCTCAGTTTTAAAGCTATCAACTTGAAACTTTGTACACACCCTTCATTCCTATGCACGCAGTATATAAGCAGAAACGGCTGGACGCGTCGATTTCGAAGACTATAGGAGATAGAACTATCAGATTTGGAACTTGGGATCGTAATAAATCCGCGCAGATTAAGTTTTTGTCAAAATTTTTGCCACGCCCACTCCCGCCCCTAAAACCGAAATCTACTGTTACCGCCACTTCGTTAATGTTTTTGGAAAAAGTTTTAATGCCAAACTGTTCCAATGGCTAATGTACACCTACAAAGCAGCCAAATCGGATAATTTTTGAAGGAGTTATAGACTTTTTAGTCTGCTTCCCTACTGAATCGGTAATATGGCCTTAGGGGGCTGCCGTTGTTTTTTTGCCCAACCGCAAAATATTTTCTGAGAATTCATACCGTCAACGTTTAAACTTTAAAGGCTAGTTAAGGGGAGGGTAAGGTATTAAATTTTTTTTGTTTTTAATTTTTTTTTTATTTTTTAAATTGAATGCATAATATCTGAAGAATATTGTGTCAAGTCAATTCAATTTGTGTTCAATATTGTGTCAATTTCAAGTCAATTAAAGCAAAATTGACGAAGTTATTAGTTATATACGAAGTTGCTTGCAAACGTTTTACACTTGATTTTTTCGAGTTGAAACTTTAAAGCGTTTTTCCCACAACTCACGTTTTCAAAGTCGGTGCCCCTCATAACTTCAAAACTACTGCACCGATCCTTTTGAAATTTTAAACACCATTTCTGTACATATTTTACAAGGTAACGCTGTCGAGTTTTTTTTTTGTTCATAATTTTGATTTCGCAATGACAAATTAACCGATTTTTTCCCAAAAAATTGAGTTTTTCACTTCAAAGTCTTCGAAAAAATTAAAAAATTGCAATTTTCAAAAAACCTTTACAGCGTTACCTGGGGCGAACTATTATCTAACGAATGAATTTTCATTTTTTGATTACAAATGATCCAGCACCGTTCATATGAGGGGCACCGCAATTCAACTTTTTTTGGCGACACGTCCGGACAATTGCTACCATTGCCATATTTTTAAATATTTTTTTCTAAAAATTTTATTAAACATTCTTCTAATGTCATACTTTAATATACCGTTGGTTGAATAAATAAATTTTAACTGTGTCGTCAGGAAAAAAATCACAAAAACATGGCTTTTTTCGCATGATTTGACCTTACCATCCCCTTAAATTGTGGGGGGAAGAGATAAGTACCGGGAATTATATAGTCGGGAAACCGACTATAGCCGTCCTTTTTTTTTTTTTTTTTGTAATTTTTTTTAAACAACAATAATATCTTTTTTTTATTTTAATCCTTTTTTTGTAAAACATTTGGTGCGTCGAGGTGAGAGGTGCGTCGTTGTAAAATTTCGTTGACCCGAAAAAAACCACAAGAAATCTAGCTAGATTTCGACACTGGGGCGTCTAAATTTACTTACGTACATACATATGTATATATTTATCTCAAAATTACATAATAAAAATGTTTTATAAATCATTATTTCATCATAAATTTAATTATTTAAACCTTATTTTATAAATAAATCATTTAAATAATACATTTAAATCATAAAGATTATCTTAAATCCCATCCATTGATACAATAACTATTTTAAATTCGGAAAAATAATCTAAGACTCTCTCTTATTCGCTTTCCGTTCTTTCGCGATATTCCAAAACCATATATGTTGTACAGGTTAAAAAAAAACCATATATACATGGCTTATTTTTAAATATTTATAGAATATTCAAATAAATCAATAAATTTTAGTTCACCAATAAAATAAAAGTTTTCCTTGTTAAAAATAAAATTTACGTTGAAGTACAATTTTCAAATTTCATTTAAAAAACGATTTATAATAAAAACGTGGGGAATATAAACTACATTTTTATACATATCTAATATAACATTAAATATTGGGGGTTGTCAAAATTACATATATGACTTTAGTTGACATTCACTAAGTTATGTAGGTTAAACCACATACATACATAAGCAGGGGAAAAGGTGAACCGGATATCATACATATATGTATGTATGTACATTGATTAATAAAAGGCTTTAGTTAGAAGCCAATACATGCACTATAAACCAGGATCAATGTACATATGTAAGTTCTTGAAATATTCTCGATGCTAATTGATTTTCTTACCGCAAATTGAGCAACGACTTGCTGTTGGCGGTTAATAGATTACGTAGCCTCAGCATGTTCGATTGATAATATAGAAACTGAAAAAAACAGTGGCATGTTATTTTTTTTATCAATTCGTGGTCAACGCTAAATGAACTTTGGACTTAGACAAATGGAATTGGCTTTATTTATCCCCATAAAAATAATACTTTATAGGTTTTGTAAATCCTACCAGCCATAAACTTGAACATTTCATTTAAAAAACTTACATTTAAAGTTAACGTTTAGTTACTGATGAATAAAACTTGGAACGCACTTAATGTAACCATGACAGGAAAGTTTAAATACTTAAGAGAAAATACTAAAATTTTCATACTCAAGTTAAAGTCCGTCAATAAAGCGTCGACGCGGATCGGTGGAATAGAAACACAGGAATAAACTTTTTGTTTTTCAATTATTTCACTATTTAGCCACTAAATTTAATAAAATCAACACTATAATTCTAGAATTTGTTTTGAAAATAAGCTGTGACACTTTTATTGACAAAATTGGTAAATCAAGGTAAGAAATTTTTGGGACTTGATTTCTTCGAAGCAATTTGAATGAAATTTTACACAGTTTCCACGGAACACCCAACAAAGAAATTTAAAAAATATTACCCTATATACATATGTAATTATGTAACATTATGTAATTATGAAGGCCATCCCTTCAGTACCATACCTCAAGGATTACTCAAGGAAACCTCGAGGTAATAGAATTGCCCCCAAGGGATCCTCGGGGTATGATTCATACAAACCATCAAGGAATTTCCATAGAAGAGTTCCACGCATCGAGGAATTCGAACACCTCAAGAAATACTGCAGGATTGCTGCAGTTATTCGAGGAGCATTTCGAACTAAATACCCCAGGAATCCCTGGGGTATACTCTGAGGAATCTTTGAGGAAATACCCCAAGGAATCCCTAAGGTATACTCAGAGGAATCTTTGGGGAAATACCCCAAGGAATCCCTGGGGTATACTCTAAGGCAGGGGTGCCCAAGTTCAGCATACGGCAGAGCAAACTCAAATATTAGTGCAAAAAATGACCAATACACAATACACCATTTTTTTCATGTCGATGCACTGAAAAATAAAATTATAGCAACATTTACAAGGGGTTTCAAATAAATATCAATATAATAAAAAATACATTTTATTATAGCAATTATGAATAATCCCTATATTTTTAAAAACAGCCTATATTTTTTAAAACAGCTTATTATTATACTATGCCAATTAATGCATAACTTTATATTTCAAAAATGTTCTGCGAAGAAGAAATTCATCGCTTCAAGTCGACCATTTTGGCCGAAACAAAAACAAAAATGAATTTTTTGCAGTGAAAAGTTTTTGCAATTCAACAAAAAATACATTCGGATTAGCACGATTGAGGAGAATAAGGAAAACACGAAAAATTGTTTTTGTATTTGGGCTTTGCCTATGCTGGGAGCAACACACGTACATATATGACATTTCATTTCCCATATGAAAGAGCAATTCCAACAACAAAGGAGCAACGAGAGCAATGGGCCTGGGCACCCCTGCTCTAAGGAATCTTTGGGGAAATACCACTTGGGGTATAATCTTTGGGGTATTTCACTGAGGAATCTGTAAGGAATTTCACACTTCCCACTCCCCCGTTTCCATTCAATAAAAAAGAATTCAATAAATAAATTAAAAATTATTATTATTATTATTATTACTTTTATTATTATTATTTTTATAATTGCAAATTATTTTACAAATTACTAATTTGTTTTTTTTTTTTGTTTTTTATTACTATTATTTTTAATGCACGTCAAAACGTGCCCCAACACTTTCTCCGGCGAGCTCCCCGGATCCACGTTAGATATACTATCTGTACATAAAATAAATAGAAATTAGATATTGCTTACATTATTTGTAATTAAAATACATACCAATCAAAACTGCATAAAAATTTGGAAACGCTTTCAATTTCTTCTTCCCACTAACACCGTCATTGTTGTATTGGACGATCAGGTCCTCAACGAAATCATATTTCAATGATTTTGTTAATGGTCCGCGCTTTAATAAATTGGTCACTGCGGTGGTCTGCAAAAATTAATAGGTATTAAACATTTTTTTATATTTAATTTCCTTTATGCCGCGGCCAAAGCAAAATCTAAGGCTGTCAATGCCTCGTTGGTGCTGGTGGCCTTGCTAATAAATAAGTTCATTATATGCACTACTCACCAGAATTAGTTATTATCACCAGGTCACTTAAATGTTTTTTAAAAAATTTAACTTCAAACTCAACAAACAAACGCGTGTAATTCATATGCAACTTGAACATCAAATGCAAAGAGAAGGGGAGAGGCAAGACAAAACCGAAAATTGACAACCGATAATTCTGGCGCGTGTCAGGGTATAGTCGACCAACGCAATGCCTTCTAATTAGAATCGCACAAGGCAAATAATCAAACATAAACATTTTGGCTTTGCCTAAAGCCAATTATTAATACATTTCAATATACCATATGATTAGATAAGAAAAATTAATTAAATATAATCTTAAATATATATAAATATTTCAACATATTTTAAAAAGGGTATTCTGACGTCGCTGCCATTCATTTGGTTTTCGACACCGATTTTTTTTCTCTCCCTTCCCTCCATCTACATCTCTCTAATTGTCTCTCTGTCGCGTGCCTCTGCTCCGAAAATATGACGTAGAAGCTGCAAGAATCATTGTCAAAAACCGAGAGCAGGTAGAAGTTTCGTTTCCCCTTTCGTTTCGGACTTGAGTAAACGAAGCCCATGCAATTTGTTTTTGTTTTTCGAACATGTCGCCAGGAAATGTTGGGGAAAGAATTTTGGTACTGAAGGGATGTAATTGCGTTGACCATCAGTGTTTTTGATACATATAAATATTGAATGTATGCGTACCAACTGAAATAAAAAAATAGATTATTCATCCAGAGTTGAAATTTCCGATGTTATATATTTATCTTTTCAAAATCAGTAAATCATACTTTTTTTAATTTTGGATTATAGGAAAAGCTTGAAATAATTTGATTAAATTTATAATATTTATACAATATTTTCATCAATTAAATTGGAGTTTTTAATATACGTTTTTTTAATAGCCTTTACTTTAATAGCGTTTTTTAGCCTTTATTAAAACGTTACAACTTGAATAAATAAAGTATAAAATGAGTAATATGTCTGCAGTTTTAAATTGCGTGAACGCCCATGCTGATTTTCTATGTTTGCGGACGATTATTGTTAGAGAAGACCCATTAATGAAAACATAATGAAAGAAGCAATAAAGAAATTTCCAATCAAGACAAAACGTGGGTACCGCATTTCTGTTGCAACACATGCAGAATAGCATTGAGTAATCATCAAATTGCATTTTTTGTACCATTTATGTATGTAAATGGAGAAGTGCGTATTTACATTGGTATATTTTATACTAGGGATGATAATATATCAAAATATCAATACCGATCTTTATATCGTAATAATTTTTTTCCCAAATATCGAGTGTGCGATAATTTTTTTTTATGTTTACTGATTTCTGCGTTGGTCACTCTGTGATCAAAGGGATAAAAGTGCAGCTTGGCCGGTGTGATTTAGAGAAAATAGATTTAGAGTTAATACCTCATGGCCGTCAGCCAACGGGTACAACAGGGGGACCTACGCGCACGCAATTGCGTGCCGTAACTGTGTACACCGCTGGTAGTGCGACTATACTCTCCACGTGAGGGCGGCTGGTAACAGGTCCCGGTAAGGTCAGGTCTCTGCCGAGGATGCTGGCTAATGGTAGTCGGGCGGGGAGAAGTACACTCCCTTCCTTAAATCACCCCAATACGAGGTGGAACAGCCTATGCCGAAGAATTCGTGTCCGAGGGGGGGCTCGGACGCTAATATACGAACTCTGGGGGACCGGCCGATCCCCCAGTTTTAACCAGGCTTATTGTGACAAGCGGGCTATGTCATGATGGACGAACCCCTTCCCGCCTACTCGTGGGACCAAAACATGAATTCTACTAATCTAACAAAAAACCGGAAATGGGGTCAGTGACCCGTCAAACTCCAAGGCCCTCAAAAGCCAAGGAGTTGCTGAGATGGAGAAGCCCCCCACAGAGGGGCAAAATCTGGAGGTGGGACGCGCCGGTGCGGAGGAGGTTGCCAAGGCTTCTTCTTCCAAAGCGGGGCTAGCTATGGGACCACCGAACGGAGTGGAGAGGAAGACCCCAGGGTCAACTTCTGAACCAACTCGACGCAGCGTAAAGGCTCTTACAAGGACAGGAGAAGAGCAGCCTTCATCTTGATGAGGGCGGACCCATCGGCCGAAGCCAACCCGGACCAGGGCGAGATCATTAAGTGGGTAAGGGAGATCCTGCCCGACTTTAATCCGGAAAAGGCGGGAGTGAGGCTGGATCCGAACAAACGTACTGGGTCAGACCCTGCCAGGGAGACCGCGCAAAGCGCGAAAAGGCAAAGGTCCACAGAGGGAGAAGCCCCCCAGGCCAAGAAGACGAAGGCCCAGCCGCAGCCGTCCAACCGCTCGTTCGCCGAAGTAACGAAGGGAAGAACCTTAATTGGAGTCCTGGACAAGGGCTCCAAGGATGGGCTCATCCCCAAGGAACTTTGGCGACGAGTGGTAAACGAGTTGCATGGGCGCTTCGTGGAGGAGATGCTGCGAAGCGGAGGACCCCCACCAGAATGCGAAGACGCAGGATGGTATCAGGGTAGCGTCAAGGTAATTGCTTGCCAAGACGCGCGATCGGTGGAGACCTACAAGCGGATGGTTGCATCGCTTGGAGAGGTCTACCCTGGAGCTAAGCTGGTGGCGGTTGACTGGGACGAGATCCCTAGCAAACCGAGGGCGCGAGTGTGGCTCACTGAAAAGCCAGCCGACCCTTAAACCATACTAACGATGCTTAGGATGTGCAACCCGACGCTTCCCACGGCGGACTGGAGAGTCGCCAAGGTCGGGGAGGAGGTGGGACTGCAAAGGCAGGTCGTCCTCACACTCAACGAGGAGACCGTTAAAGCCCTGGAGATGATGGAGCACCGGCTGAAGTACGGATTCGAACAGGTTTCAGTCCGTATCTACAAATCCGATGCGAAGGCCAAGCCAGGAGGTATCGGGCTGGAGGCAGACACGCAAGAGCCAGACTTGGAGGAGCCGACCGAAGAGGGGCACCCGGAAGGAATGTCGGATGAGGAGGAGGACATTCTGGAAGGGTACACCTCGGAGGAAAGCGACTTGGCAAGGGCACTTAGTGGAGTCGGAATGGAAGAGAACTCTCTGCTGAGCTCCGAGACGGAGGCAGAAGTTACTGTGGTGGAGATTTGTAAGGAT